TGTGTGTGTGTGTGTGTGTGTGTGTGTGCGCGGTGGGGTGGAGCCCTGAGAGAGGCAAGAAAGGTGAAGAGAATTAAGACAGGAAGAGGGAGATGGAGAAAGAGAATAAAGAAATGGGCCTGGGGAGGGAGCATTGAGGGTCATGTTCTGGGAAGCAGAGAGATTGGGACAACAGGTGCTGGGGTGTTACCAGGGGTGGAGGGAGGGGTGGGAATTCCTTGGGCCGCTATTGGGTCCCTCCTGTGTGTGCCAGGCTGAGCTCATGGCTGTGGGGAGACACAGACGTGGGGCTAGCTGGGGCTCCACCTGCAGACACAGGACAAAGGAAAGGCAGGCCACATCCTGTAAAAGTCAAGTCCACCTGGAGGACATGGGGTGAAGGCAGGAGGCAGGGCTGGAGCCCCAACTCGGAGCAAGAAGGAGGATAACCGGGGAGCCTGGAAGGTCTGAAGCCTGGGGATGGCGGTGGGGCTGGATCTGTGGGGCAGTGAGGGGTGGGCAAGGAAGGCAGCCCACGTTTGGGGAGATTACGGTGAAAAAGGTAAAGCTGGCAGAGGCTGGGAAGCAGTCAGGGGCAGGGAGAGGAGTTTGAGAGAAAGGTCAGGAAGAGAGGCGCCTGGACCGGTCCTGGGGGACGAGGGCACCAGTGGCCGGGGCAGCGGGACTCACCTGTGGTGATGGTGAGTTTGGTCCCTTCCCTGGACTGCCACACCTGCTCGCCTTCGTTCCGTGTGGTCAACTGGACTCGGCAGAAGTACCTACATTCATCCTCTCTCCGCAGGTTAGAGATCCGGAGGGAGCCGTTCCTCTGGGCCTTTGTCCAGTTCAGGGAGAGGCGGTTTTTAAAATCCTCATGGGTGAATTGCAGGGTTGTGTTGTAGATGAACTCTCCATGGAAGTCTCTCCATCTCCAGGATATACCCACTTTGGGATCACTGGCTAACTCCCCGGGGTAACAGAAGGAGAAGGGGATGTCGATGGAGCCACCCTCAGGGGCTGAGAGGTGCTCTGGTTGTTTGACTTCATAATCAAGGTTTGAAGTGCATTTTGCTGAGCCACCTGGAGGAGGGAGGGAGAGGGATGGACTTTGAAGCCACTTGGAGGGACCAAGAAGATAACCCCGGACCATCTGGCACCCTCACCTATGGGCGGAAGTGTGGCAGATAATAGGACTGGCCCTCTGGCTGGGTGTCCCCTCTCCAGGGCGGGTAGAAAGGAGGGTGAGGGATGTGGGGGACCCAGCACTGTGGGACCAGCCCAGGCCATTGCTTGTTGCAGGTGGGAAGCCTGGCTGGCCACAGCCCCTCCCTGGGGCTCCCCTGGGGCCCTGGTCAGAGCCAGGGGGTCCTGGCCACTCACCAGCCTGCAGAGATGCTGGCGGCAGCAGGGGCAGCAGCAGGAGCAGCAGCAGGGGCAGACCCATCGCCTTGCTCTCCTCGGGAGGATGAGAAAACAAGCAGAGCCTCTAGGCCAGAGGGGAGGCTCTGTGGAGGGGCTGCCTCAGGCTAATCTGACCACCGGAGAGGCAGGAGCAGGCTCCTTCCGAGGACTGGGAGGTGGGAGCCCTCCCCAAACATGCCTGCCCAGAATGAACAGCACTTCCTTTTACAATCTGGCTTCTTCTTTTCTGATATTGCCAAAGAGCTTCCCCTGTGGTCAGTGACCAAGAGCCATGATATTGGCCCCCCAGTCCCCACCTTCATGCTGATGGGTGTGGTCCTGACCTGGGCTGCCTGGGGCCTCTCCCCTCCCACCTCAACGCCCTGTCTCTGCCAGGGACTTTCCCATCTCCTTAGGAGTCAGTCCCGTCTCTGTCTCTCACTCGCTCTCCTTTTCTCTGCTTCTCTGAGTGCCTCTCAGCCTCTGTTTCTCTCATTGCAGGGGAAGGGGCAGCAGCAGGACCAGCTCAGGCTCTCTCCAGAGAGGAAAGGCAGCCAGGAGTCTCTGTCCAGCTACAGCCCCTGGAAAAGGAGGGGGGAGGCGCTGGTGGAGATGCCCCCAGCCCCAGCCCCAGCCCCAGCC